GCTGCCAGATACGTTGAGAAAAATAACAACACCTTACATATAAGCACATATAAATGATTAATTTCTGATATAAATCATTGTCTAAATCTCAGTCAGAAAAAAAATTCTCATGGTTTTCTCAAACAAGAACACGCTAGGCCAAATCTGTTTCCCCATGATTGCACATCTAAACAGGAAGTGTGGAAACATCAGCATCTGCAGGGATATGGGAATTAATTTATCTCCGGAGACATTTGTTTCCCTTCAGAGAGGTTCAGTGGAGAGACTTGCATTAAGTGTTTGCCAAATATTTTCCTCCTGCTGAGCAAAGTACCACATAAGTACGGGTAAATAATGAAACAGTTTTGTAGAGTAACTAAATATTCGGCGTAGTTCCTTTGGGGATTTTTGTCACTCTGAGAAGTTTGTAAATTTTATTAAACCAACTGATCACATACAATTCTTAAATAAAGGCTTTTTGTTGAATGTTATTTAGGAACTGAACACAAACTAAATGTTTACCAAAAAGACCTAAGAAAAGGGAAAACAAGAAATACCAGAGTAGAAAAATGTGGCCTTGGAGACTCCTGTTAATAAAATACTTTAAAATATATTCACTTAGCTTTAACACATGCAGAACTAAAGAGACCCGAAGTCTAATTTTATTAGATAATGATTTATTTTTTAAAATGTGGGTATATATACATTTATTTATTTATTTATTTATTTTTTTGCTTTTGTCAGTTTTTTCCCTAAAATATCCCCACAATATTTACTTATCTGGTCCTGCATGCTGCTACATCCACAAACATGCATCTAGTCATTAGCATGAAGAACAAAGAGCCGTTTGTAACAAATAAAAAATGGTTCAGTTTTGTGACATAAAAAAAACATATCTGATATACATACCAGGTTGAAGTTTGGAAGATTAACTGTCTACCTCACTGATGTCTGCAGTAGCTTCATTGTTGGATGTTTAAAATTATTTTTTAAAAGACTCAAAGACGTTGTTCAAGTCCAACTCACTGGCATAGGTAAAGATGGATGAAGACTCTCTTCCCTCCCCCACAGTAAGTCCATAAAATCTTGTTTTAGTTGTTTTTGCTTACCTACTTATTGCAGAGGTGGATCAAAAGGGGGACATCTGGTGAACTATCGCTTACTACCCCCTCTATTTTGGGTCCGTAAATGTGTCTACAGTGCTCCAGTGGCCCGGTTCACTCTGCAGCATAACTGTGCCGATTTTTGACCCGCTACTCCTCCATTACTCTAATGGCTGTAAAGATAATCTTATTTAATATTCCTGCCGTGTGTGGTGTGTTAAGAGCACCGTGGTCTGCTCGGAGGCACTTTGATACTGTTCCAATCATGAATCGAGTCTTTTAAAGATGTGGAACACTTGTTTAGCATTTGCAGTGGTCTCCACCAGCTCAGTGGCCTAGTGGTAAAGTGTCTGCCCTGGGAGTGGGAGATCAGAGTTCAAATCATGGCCAATGCCTCCCTGCTTGACACTCAGCTTTAAGCGTGGCTCTGTCTGCAGCTCACCGCTCCCCACGGGGATGGGCCAAATGTGGAGGACAATTTTCACCACACCAGTGTGTGTGACAACTATGGGACATCAAGGAATGAATGCCTTGTAAGGGGCACTCTGGGGAAAACAAGCTCCGGTGCACCTGTGTCAGGATGCGTATAATCAGACGAGAGCTTCAGGCAGGATTTAGACTCTGATATTCTGATATCTTGCCTCTGAAAGGCTGACAGCAACACAACTCTACCACTGTTTGCTTTGCAACATTGATGTTTTATCTCCACAAATAACTAAAGCCTGAAGGAGTTCTGCTGTGTGGTGGAGTTGATAATGCTAACTGTTAGCTTCTACTAGCCGAGAGGTTTTCTGCTGTTTCCTGGAAGCTAAACCAAAAACAGCCTTTCCTGTGGTGAGATGGGTGAGTCTCTGAGTGCGATAAACCTGTCAGGCTTTTCAAATCCTAGAGTTTCACCGTCTATTTTCTATCAGAAGCTAATGCAGGAGATAGGTGTAGGAGACTATTTTCATGTTCAGCGTGCATAAAAACTCAGAGTGACCGATTAAAATCAGTAATAAGAATCTAAAAATGTTTTTTCAGTGTTTCACACCTTTAGACTTGTCGGATTTTCTTAGTCTAATTTTCAAGGACAAACAAGTGTGCTACTTGTTGAATGTGACATACTGCCTATCAGAAAGCAAGGTGACAGAAGCATGCCTCATGCTCCTCCTCCACCATGTTTGCTTAGTCTGAAGTCACATTTTATCTTGCGAGATTTCCATATTCTGTATTTTGTGGAACATTCTTTTCTTATCCAGACTTAAATCGTCTGCTTTATTTGACAATCTAAAGACACTAATAGATTTGTGAAAGGGTTCAGGTGGATATTTTGTTGACTCCATCTAGGGTACTTTCACACAGTTCAGTGAGGAAGTCCAGCATTGCCAGCCTGCCTAAAGTTTTTTCACCTCATTTGTCCCCCATGTAAAATGTTCTACATCAACCTGACCTGATTCCCTGTGGAAAGAATGTTCTCAATGGGAGAGTTCAACTGTTTTGTGATTGTTCGCGGTTATTCTTTCCAGTAAATACTTTCCATTGAAAGCTGAGCTGCAGCATGAACAAACCAGCTTTTTATATTTGGTTTTGTTATTTATGTTTTCTGATGTGTGGAGGCTTTAAGCCAAGTCTCTGAGCAGCAAACTACTCGTGGGTTGTCTGCTGCAGAGATCATTGTGTGTCTGAGTCATCAGTTCTGAAGGATGAACCTTTTAACTGGTCCAATTTCCAGCAGGATTCAGAACTACTGCAGAGCGACAGGAGCTAGTGGGAATGAAAAGAAGAACACTTTGTCCATGGTTTTACAGCCAAATCTCTCTTTATTTCGAGGAAGGAACTTTCATTAAGAGTTCATTCTCCATTGATGAGAAATCCATAAATATGGCCAAGATAAGGAGGAGTTTATTTTCTTGCTTGTGAGAAGATGTAGGACTCCAGTCATTTTCTGACTTCTCCCTACTGATTCATCCAAACCGAAGAGAGCTTTTTGTTGTTTCCGTGTTCTTTCTGATGTAATAGGGCGTAGTTTGGGAGGTTTCCTTTTTTATTATAGTCCACCGTCAGAAGTGAGTGATCCTCCGCTTTGCTTTTCTTGGCTGCAACATTGAAAGGATGAAGAAAAGCTCATTGATTTTTATACCACACATTTAAAGGAACATATATTGCCATTTGAAATCATCTTTATGGCTATTCTTGGATTTTGAAGCCCTGGCTTCCTCAAATGTTACATCTAAATTACTGACCAGTGATCAAGTAAACCTGGTCAAAGTGTAAGCCTTTCTTTCTACCAGACGCAAAAGTGGTGTGCAATGTATTAGCGGTGATTTACCTGCCAGCTCATTCCCAACCAGGAGTTGGGAGTCTTTTAGCTATCAGGCTCCTCTCTTGTGGAACCAGCTCCCAGCATTAGTCTGTGAGGCAGACACCTTGTCTACTTTTAAGAATAGGCTTAAAACATTTTTATTTGATAGGGCCTATGGTCAAAATCTGATGTTAGCCCAGATCTGGACAAGTGGGGGAGTAGAGGGAGGTGGAGTGTACAGTCGGTAAAGACGGCTCTCTCTTGCCCTGACTCCAACATGCCTCCATCTAAAAGGCTAGGTTATCCAGAGTTATCTCTGTAGTTATGCTGCTATAGGCTTAGACTGCTGGAGGATACACTGACCACTTTCCACACTCAACTACTTTCTTCTACAATCTGCTCTTTAACTTTATTATTTCCTGCTATTTCAGCTGTTAACTTTATTTTTTCCTCTAAGTGTTTTTCACCCCAGAAGAAGCTGCAATGGTGTTCTGCTGAGCTCTGGTGCCCTCATGGTGGGGGCCATCGTCTTGAACACTGCTGCTAACCATTTAAACATTCTCCCTCTCCTGATAATAACACTTTACTTTCTTTGACATTGAATGTGCTACTACTAGTTTACCTGTTTAATTATAGATTCACTAGGATATCTCTCATCAAATAGAATATTTACTAAGAAATCACAATGTAACCATAGAAACATTACTTGGTATATATGGTGTGTGTGTGTATGTGTCTGCTCTGTCTTCTCGATCACCAGTGAGTCGTGGCGGATGGCTGCTTATACTGAGCCAGGATCCTCTGGAGGTTTCTTCCTGTTACAAGGGAGTTTTCCTCTCCACTGTCGCTAAATGCTTGCTTAGTAAGAGGATCGCTGTAAAGACTCTGACACTGGTCAGTGACTTGATGCAATTTGCTGGGTTCCTTATATAGGAAAATTTTTACTGATTGGCTAAATGAACTGACCTGAATTGGAACATTTACTACTGTATGTGAAGTGCCTTGAGACGACTCTTGTCGTGATTTGGCGCTATATAAATAAACTTGAATTGAATTGAGTGACTCTGGCACAAAAAGGTACTGGGAGTGAAAGTTTTCCACAGAGCTGATCACAAAATCACGGGAGAATTGCAACACCACAAGTGATTTCAGAAGTCCATATAAAAAACTTCAGAGTTTCACATGTTATAGAAGCATAGCACGTTAAACAAACCTGAAACATAATGATAGCATCCCTTCGCTTCTGGGACGTGTCCAAAATGTCACACTTGGCATCCCGTGGAAGGAAACTCGTCCAATATAACAGCAGCTAATTGCTGCGTAGTACATTTTGCGGCCATTTCGCCATGCTTTAATGTCTGGTGTAAAGAAAGGGTAAGGCACACCTGTGCTAAATTCATGCTGTCCTATCAGCACGTTGATGTGCCACACATGAGTGGGATGGATTATCTCAGCAAAAGGAAGTGCTCACTGACAGATTTAGACACATTTGTCAACAATAGTTGAGAGTAATGGGTCTTTTGTGTATTTAGAAATTGTTTCAGATTTTTTTTGTTCAACTCGTGAAAAAAGTGTTAGGTTTATTTAGTGTATGTATCAAATAATGTCGATTAAACACAAACTCATCAAAAAAATAACTGGTAGAATACATCATATTTTAATTATAGATGTTTTTATCAGACAGCTTATACATTTCAACATCTTCAGCTCAAGGCGCCTACACTGCAGCAGTGTGAGATGCTGCCATGCAGAAAATCTCCAGAATGCGATGTTGTCTGTTCAGAGCCTGCAGTAACTACAACCACTCATAAGCTCCTTTGCTGGTTTCTCTCAAACAAAGAAAGATTGACACACCAATAAAGAACAGGTCCTATCAAAAAAATTACTTCATCACAAGGTCTTCTTGAAGAATAGATGATGAAACTGGGGGGTTTGCCAAGGATTGACATGAGTAATGCACATAAGGTAAGAGGAGGGTGATAAACCACAAATTTAGCAATTTTGCTAACGTCGATTTGTTCAGTGTTTTAACCCTCTGGAGGCAGGCATTGCAGATTTGCAACAGTTAAAACCTACCTACCTTGCTTCGGGCATGCGGGCGGGGTACAACCTGGACAGGTTGCCCATCGCAGGGCAACACAAAGACACGCAGGACAAACAACCAAGCACACATGCACATCTTAGGACAATTTTGAGAGAACAGTTAACCTGGCAGTAATGTTTCTGGACTGTGGGAGGAAGCCGGAGCACCCGGTGAGAGCCCAAGTATGCACAGGGAGAACATGCAAACTGCTTGCAGAGAGACCCCAGGCTGGCATACGAACTCAGGACCTGCTTGCTGCAAGGCAAAAGTACTAACCACTGCACCCCTGTGCAGCCTGTAGTTATCATCCATTTATCATTATTGTGATGAACTGCACGCCCAGCCCTACATTAGCACCACCCTCATCCAATGATAGACCTCCTTTGTTGGATCTAATGTGGGTGTGAGAAGTTAATAAGAGGGAACCTTAAATTTTGTTGTCTATTATCAATATTATTAGATTTTCTGTGAATTACATCTGACATTATTCATGCATCATCTTTGGACAAATAGGTGAATGCGAGTGATGTGAAACGGTAAAAGAAACCTGAACTTGACCAGAATCTCCGAGATGCCAATTAGTTTAAAGGTTTATATTAAATGTATTAATAATCCTGCTCAGTTCTTTGACCTCTTCCAACGAGGAGCAACATTGCACTTGGGGCTTGTTCAAGATAAAATTATTACAGAACAACAAAGAACTACTCCACAACAAACCAGCCACACCTCATGTTTTAAAGCTATTAATTGTCCCAACCTTTTCCATGAGAAACGTGCACGTTTGGATCTTAAACACCAGACAGTAATATGGATGTCTCTGCCCTAGCTGCTGATCTTGGTCAGCATCTTGTTGATGGCCTGTTTGACGTGGGTCGTGGAGCTGCGGCGTCTGGCCTTGCCCTGGACGGCTTTGCGTCGTCTCACCTCCCTGCATAGCTCATGGAAGGCTTCAGCGACGACGCCCCCTTCATCAGCACAGGCTGAACACTCGTAGAAGGCACAGGCCATCTCTGCGGCCAGCCGCTCTCCTTCCTCTGTGGAAACCTGACGGACATGGTCCAGGTCACACTTATTGCCCACCAGAACTAAAGGAACGTTCTTCGGCTTCTTGACATCCTCTACAAGGCTTCGAAGAGGGGCTACCTCCTCAAAGCTCCCCCTGTCTGTGATGTCATAGACTATGACGAAGCCGTCACCCCATCGCATGTGACCTTCCTTCTGCTGGATGTCTTCCTGTGAACGAGACCAGAAAAATTGTGTTAAAAAGACTCATTTCACATTTTGTGGATTTTATGTTTTAAATTCCCTGGAACTTTAGAGAAATCCAGTTTTCTTGAGCAAGTGTTTGTGAAACATCAAGTTAACATATGGAAAAACAGCAGAAAGTGAGAGTTTATTAATGATTTCGCTATTGGATGAGTAGATTGAGATGTTTTGATAATAATAATAAAGCAACAATAAAAGCACTAAATATTGACATTCATAAAATACAGATGAAACTCAAATTTTGAATATAGTGCAAAGTCCATTAATTTCAGTAATTCATATTAGACCAAGAGATCATCTAAAGCAGAATTCAGTTCCAGGTCTGGGGGACCGGTATCCAGCATGTTTCAACACACCTGATTTCAATCAGCAGGTGATTAACAGGCTTCTGCGAAGCCTGATGAGCTGCTAAACAGGTGAATCGTGTGTTGAATCTCAGAAACCACTAAAACATGCTGGATACTGACATAAATGCACTCATCTCTATATTCAAATTTTTCCAGTTGCACCTGTATAGACCAGGTTTAGGGATTTAATTAAAATGTACAAGAATTTTAAGAAACATAATGAAACTCTTGGAATAAAGTAACTGGATGAACTTCAACCTTTTGGAATCAACATCATTCAAAATGTCTGCCAAACAATTTCTCTGCGAGTACCTTTATGACTTCATGTTGTTAAACTTATTAACTATTTCCTATTTGATTCTATTTGTATGTATAGGAATTGTTCAGGTTTATGCGTTTAAGTTCAGTTCGGCTCCTGATCACTCCAGCTTTTGTAAATCTGAGGGATGATCCAACACGTGCTTCTAATCTGATGAAGATGGACAGAGTCGACTCATAAGTGCCTCGTGATTTTTATCTTGAGAGGCGCGAAATGATATTTTCTTCTTCTTCTTTATACCGATTCTTAATTCTGGTTTGAGTAGAAGAAAGCTTCCTCCATAGAAAGGATGAATTTATGTTAACCTGGACTTTGTGAGGTAATCAGTGGAAGGAAGACCTACCACTGTTGGCTTTGACAGAACTGGAGAGGAGGAACTTGACATCCAGAGCAGTCATGTCTGGAAACATTTGAGCTAATGCCAGCTGAAAATAGTCCACAGTGTAATGAGACAGAGAAGACTGACTGGGCTGAAGTGTAGCAGGGGAAATCAGCCTTCAACAGTACACCTACGCAGCACTGCAGCATATTTATCTTCAGCCTGAGGACTTACACAAGCTCTCCCTCATGGTCTGAACGTGGCAGCAGTCCTGCTGGGCTGCAGGAAATTACCATCTTCAAGTGCTACTCACTCTCACATACAGCCAACAAATCTTCTACCAACAATTTAACGTCTCCATGCAGGAGACAGAAAGGAGGCGGAGCCACCAAGGGCTTATGGTCATTTTTACACACATGAGTAAACAGTTTGAATCTTGATCCTCACATGATTTGGTAACTAATGTCCAACATGCCCTCCTAAAATTTGATTCTGTCTAATTTTTGGTGGATTTTTGTTTTTGACCAAAACGTAAAGTGAGAATGAAATGACGTCCATACGTACCCAGAAAACAAAGCCTGGCTAGTGTTCTGTAAATGGCCACAGATAAATAATAATCATCATCATAATTATCAGGGGTCCTCAATTATAATGGTCCGAGGGCCACTCACAAGACTCAGAAGCAAGAGGGCCGGACGGAGGGCGCTTGTGCTGCTGCTGTTTGGACCGCTGGCTGTAATGCACATAGCACACAAGCTTGCATTATAAAGAAGGACAACACCTGTCCCCCTCCAGCTCGGCTGTAAGACTGCACTAACCTGTCCTGTGTGGCCCTCACCATGTAACCTTCATGTCCATGCTGTCTCTGGAGGGGCAGATAGGAAACAAGACCTCCTGTAACCTAAAATAAACCAAAGCTTCTGCCCAGTTTCTCTTTAAGTTGAATTTAACATCAGTTTATCATCATGAAACAAAAGAACAAAGTGGAACAAAAACTTCTATCTTCTATTTCTCTCTCCTTTTAACTTCGTGTCCCTAAATAAAAGAAACAGATGATTACGCTGCAGCCGTCGGCATTGACCCCGCTCCCTCCCCAAGACCAGACCTCCCGGCATCACAGTACTCGGTCTGAGTGACTGAGCGCTTCCAGGAGAAACAATAATGAAATTATGAAAATAATAACGCGTGTTTGGAGGAGCGTCCTTGATCCTCTCTTTTGTGTGAGCAGACAGTCTATCCCCACCCCTCTCTCTCTCTCAGTCGCTGATCGAGCGAGCGCAGCGCAACAACCCGCTCAATTAACATCATTCAAGGCCCAAATCCAACAGAACCGATCGGGCGGATTCGGTTCAATCTCAGGTTATAACTCCAGCACTCAGCCCTGCCTATTAAGGCAGACCAAAGTTTCCTACCCGGTAAACGTGGAGAACACCTGTTCTGACATATCTGGATGCTACGCTGGTGCCGCCGTTAAAATAACAAAACTACATTCCACTATAATTGATTATGACTACTTTTCTATGATGCAAAATTCTTTATGTCCGCATCTCGATGCATTGATTATTTGATTCTTTTCCTCAGCTCTATCCTACACCTCCCTGTCGGCCATCGGGGGTGGGGGTGGGGGCGGGGGGTGCGTGCAGGATTTGGGGGCCACAAAGAGAGGGCTCGCGGGCCACCATTTGAGTATTGCTGATAATTATTATTATTATTATTAAAAAAGACGTTCTTAATCATGAGTTCCATAGCTGGTAATACAAGGCAAATCAAAGTGGTAAACAGCTGCCCAGGTGCATTCAGAAACTGGATCATCGTAGTCCAATTAAAGATCAAAAGTTGCTAAAATCAAATGCAAGATCAGCAAAAACATAGCCTGGCCTGCCAGACTCCTCCTCTGTTCAGTTCTGCACAGAGAAAGGGTCTGGGAACGCTCCTATTCAAATAACCCCACCCCCTGAGAATTCTAACTGAGCCAATCAGCACGGAGCAGCATACGTCACACACCACAACCCAAGTTTGTCATAAACATGGTGACTGAAGCGGAGTTTGCTGCGGCTATTTCCTCTGTTCTAAATGACTTGGACATGTCTTTAAAACAACAAGTAGAAGTGCTACAAGCACTTCTTCTAAAGATGTTTGCACCGTCGCCAGATGCCATTTTTGACTACAGCTAAAAACTACAGCGGTACAGTCAGCATCTTCGTCTTTTTTCAGATTGGTTATGTTTGAGCTGGTTAATCCCGCCTCTCATGTGCCTGCCTTTGAGTAACCAGATGTGCTCTGCTCTGTAGTGATTGGCTCGGTTAGAATTCTCAGGGGGTGGGGTTAGTTACCAGACCTTTTCTCTGTGCAGAATTAAACAGAGGAGGAGTCTGGCAGGCTAGGCTAGCAAAAACATAAAACATTAAACTCAACGTCAAAAAACATAATAGCAGATTATAAAATCAAAGTTAAAAATATACTAATAAAATTAGATGTAAGTAATTAATTAAAAAAAGGCCAAAGGGTGAGAAGATACAGTACAGAAAGTGTAGCATAAGAAACATTCATTCAAAGGCTGATGAATCTATTTAGATTTAGAAGTTACTAGGGTTGGGGCACATTTGAGGTCATTGTGAAGCTGATTCAATCTGTGTGCAGCATAGTAGCTAAAGGCAGATTCATCCTGTTTGGTTCTGACCCGGGTTCTACCAGCTGACCATAAGGATCTCAGAGCCCTGCTGGGTATGAACAGGAAGGAGCTCCAACATGTATTCTGGCCCCATGCCACAGAGTGATTTATAAACTAGTAGTAGCACTTTGAATTAGAATCTGTGGTTTACAAGAAACCAGTGTTGAGATTTAAGACCAGGAGTGATGTGCTTGGTTCTCTTGGTTCTTGTTAAGACTCAAGCAGCAGCATTCTGAATAAGCTGCATTTGTTTCACAGCATTTTTGGGAAGACCAAATAAAGACCATTGCAATAATCCAGCCTGCTGGAGATGAACACATGGATGAGTTTCTGTAGATCTGGGATGTCAGCAACAAATATTTGTCATTCATGAAAAAGATAAATTAAATTTTGGCTGCATTCAACTTCAGGTTAAGGAACAAGACAAGCCAATATTGAAAGTAAACAGAAGAAAGTTGAGGGAGGGAGCCACTGATGGTGACGGACAACAGATTATTTACAGTAAATTTTAAATTCATAAAAATTGATCATTTCACAACTGATAGCAAAAAATTTAAAGCACAAATAAAGTTTTAAATAAAAATAATTTCTAACCTTCCATCCGACTAAAATACCATCTAGCCAGTCTGACCTTGGAGACCACATGTCAGAGAAATGGAAATGATTGAAACACGTTGGAGCAATTATCCAATCTGTCACTGTGCTCCTGCACAATGTTATTAAAGAGACAGGATAGTGGCTTCTATTGCCACTCATTGATTTGACTGGACCTCATGAGGAATGCATGTTCTTCAGTAAAAGAAACAGACCATTAAATTCATCACATAATTAGAATATGACCTTAGTCAAACTGGAAATTAGGATTTAGTGGATAATATCTCTCACCTGTCCTGCAGTGTCCAGAATCTCCATGGTGACAACTTCATCATCAATGTTGGCTTGATGGCGATACGTGGATTCTGTGGGGTACAAAAACAAACAAGAGGATGGTTTTTCCAGAAATTCAGCACAGCTATGAATCACCGTTTGATGAAGGTGATGAATCCAAACGTGGGAGGAAAACTCATTATTTTGCATTTTAAGCTACTAAAGCACTCTTTCTGGTGGAGATCAGGATTTTATGTTGGAATCTTTCAAATGTAACCTCTTAGATACCGGAAATATGATAAATGTATTTATGACTGGCATGCCTCTCTTTCTCTATTAATTTATTAGGTATTTTTCTCTGATGATGTGCTGGCTCCTGTCTGCCTCAGACAGACACTGATCTGTTTGAAAAAGTGTGAAATTATTTCCATTTTTCTTGTATAACCAAATAATTTTCTTGCATTTCAGAGCCTGTGTTTTTCCAGTGTGTAGTCAAGCAGCATTGAGGGAGACTGAGAGCTGCTGGATAACAAAACAGAACTCTGTTCCCTTTCATCCCAAATCAGATGGAAGAAATCTCAAAAGCTTTCAGAGAACACCATCATTATCAGCCATTATACATTTCTCAATGCAAAAACTGTGCAGTTTTCTTTTAAAACAGAGCTTTGCACCAACGAACCAAAAGTCTAATTATATGCTGGGTTCAGGTGGTGTTCAAGGTCAAACGGAGGCATTCGATAAACCCTTTAAAAACGGATACAGGGCTGGGACTGGCAGGGTTTGATGAAGGAACAAATCCTGATCACTTTAGCTCAGAAGTGGTTTTAATGCCAATTTGCAAAAATGATCTACAAGGTTAAATGTATTTCAGTTTATTTTAGGCTGTTTCCCTTTAACATGCAAAATAAAAGTATCTTTCCAGAGTTTTCCCCTTTCAGAAATGATGTATGATTTGTCAGAAATCCGTAAAAGTGATTATCTTATCATGTACTGTGATATAATGTAAGCAGAGCTCCGTGCAATAGGAAACTGAGCGCCAGCCAGAACTAACCAATAGCATTAAACTACCGCTTACTTACTTCAAATTTAAGGAATACCTCGGCTGATGCAGAGTTGATGCACTTTTCACGGACAAGTAAGTCTCTAAAATATAAATATATGAGAACACAACATGAGATTAATACTCATAAAACAACGTGTTTTAGCTCTGTTTGTCGGCTACAGAAGCACATTTATAAACAGAAAGGTGAAGTTGCCATCTTCAAAAAACGGAAGGAGTGTGATATGCTTGTCAGCCACTAGATGGTGCCATCTACCAATTTAGCTTTTTTCTTGTTTTCACACTCGGTACAAAATTAATGAGATTAATTTGACTGCAAGTATCCAAATGTGTGGTCTGATATACTTAATGCTTTAAAATTTCACTGTGTATAGTTAAATTGCTTTGAATTAAAATCCTAAAGTTGACAAAGACCTGCCAGAGAGATTGTCCGTGACTGGATGGTTGATTCTGCACTCTCCCCCTGCTGGGTCCCAGGTGGAATCGACTTTCCTGAGAATAAATTGTGTATCCTGTGATGTATGTGATTAAATACCGCTAAGAGCCAGAGGAGCTTGTGCAGCTGTTTGGTTGGACGCATGAGCAGCATCTCTTCAGTCTCACACTGTGACATGTGGGACTGTTTATTTTTGGGAGCCATTGCTGTCAGCTGGAACAGTAGTCAATCTGCCCACGTCCACCCACCCCAGTGTATTCATCACTGAATTCACCGATGGGAGATTATCCAAACTAATAAAATACGGGACAAAGAGCATGTTTCTGTGGGGCAGCTGTCAAAAGTTACATGTCTTGTTTCAAAATATAAACTCATATATAAATATAAATTGATTTACCTTTACACTTTTTTTTTCAAATCTTCACTCAAATTGTTCCATAATTCAACCCCACATATTGTTGTACACATACTCCTCTTTGTTGTCCGAACTCAGTTTTTTTTTATTTAATGCCCCTCTTAAATTGTACCCATCGTCTTTATCATTAAACATTTTCTGTATATTACATGGAAGTAGTTTATTTCTTGCCTTAAACATGATTACTGTGGTTTTAAACTTTATCAGATAAATAAATTTTAACACTTGCAATTTTAAAAACAGTGTTGTTGTGTATTCCCTATATTCCACATTATATACTATCCTTATTGCTCGTTTTTGCAGTATGGATAGTGATTGTAGATTACTCAGGTATGTGTTTCCCCAAACTTCCACACAGTAATTCAAGTATGGCATTACCAGTGATGAAAACAGAATAAACAATGATTCTTGATTCAGTAAATGTTTTATTTTACCCAAAACACCAATGCTCTTTGCCAATTTTGTTTGTACATATTTAAAATGTGGTTTCCAGCTAATATTATGGTCTAGGATAACCCCCAGAAATTTAGTTTCATAAACTCTCTCTATTCTTACATTTTCTAACATCAGTTTTATTTCAGAGTCCACTCTTCGATTTCCAAACAAAATGACTTTGGTCTTGTCCAAGTTTAATGATAATTTGTTCAAGCTGAACCGTTCTTTTGACTTACTCATTTCAGTCCTCACTTCTCCCAATAATTGCTGTATATTTTCCCCAGAACAAAGAGCATTGGTGTCGTCTGCAAACAAAACAAATTTTAATTTTTTTGAAACCATAACTAAGTCATTTATATACATAATAAATAACTTAGGGCCCAGTACTGACCCTTGTGGTACACCAACAGTTATGTCGAGACAGTTGGACATGACATCTCCCATTTGTACAAACTGTTGTCTGTTTCCCCTATAACTTTTTAACCAATCCAAAACCACCCCTCTAATGCCATATCTTTCCATTTTCGTAAATAGTATGTCATGGTCTGTAGTATCAAATGCTTTTCTGAGATCAATAAAAAAAACATGTATGTTTTTATCCATGCAATTTGTAACTTCTATTAATTCCATTAATGCTATACAGCGGATGATCTATTTTTCCTGAAGCCATACTGGCTTTCTGACAGCAAATTAAATTGTTCAATAAATTCTTCTAGCCTGTTATTAAATAATTTTTCGAGTATTTTAGAAAACTGGCACAATAATGATACAGGCCTGTAGTTTGTAAAAAGTTGTTTGCCTCCTGCTTTAAATAATGGTATGACTTTAGCCATTTTCATTTTTTGTAGGAATACACCAGATGAAAATGAGAGATTACAGATATGGGTCATTGGATCTGTGACACTATTAATAACTTTCTTGACTATTAGCATATCTATTCCATTCCAATCAGTAGATGTCTTACTTTTAAACATATTTACTGTATCTATCATCTCTTTTTTATTAACGGCCCTAAGGAACATTGAGTGGGAGTTCTTTACTACATTGTTTTCCATATCTTTGACATCTTTAGGCTGGTTTTCTTCAATTTCTTGTGCCAGCCTTTGTCCAACATTCACAAAGAACTCATTGAACCCTTCCACCACTTGACTTTTGGTTTTTGTAACTATATTTCCATCAATAAAACATTCTGGACAATTATGACTAGCCTTATTTTTCTTAATAATGTCATTCAATAATTTCCATATGCCTTTACTATTGGTTTTATTTTCATTTAATAATTTTGTATATTTCTTCCTACATATCCTCGTTACAGTAGTCAGTTTATCTTTATATTTTTTGTACCTTTGTTCTGCCTCTATCGTTCTATTTGCTATATACTGTTTATAGAGAATATTCTTTTTTTACAAGCATTTAACAGTCCCTTTGTGATCCATGGTTTGTTGGGTTTTATTTTTTATTATATTATATGTATTTATTGGACAATGTTTATCATAAAGAGACTTAAATACATCAAGGAAGTATTCATATGCCCTGTCGACATTAGTTTCATTATACAGTTGTGACCAGGTTTGAGCTTGCAAATCACTGTTGAATGCTTCTATCGATTCTTCTGTTTTCAGTCTGATATATTTCCGTTGGTATGTCCGTTATCCTTCCACACTCACAATCATAGATTGTAAACACTGGTAAATGGTCACTGATGTCATTTATCATTAGTCCACTGATTAATGTGCTTTCCATATGTGGCCAAAGAATCCCACTGGTGAGAGCTAACTCAGATGTCAAGAGAGTGATGTTGCCTTTTTGATTGGAGCTTCTGTTGAACTCTCAGCAGTTCTCCTAAATAGCTGGCACTGCCACTACAAATACTACTTTATAGCAGGAAAGGCAAAATAAGAATATTTACAATGATTGATTATACTTTCTGGGTGAACCCAGAACTACCTGAGCCACCGTTAACCCCTCACCAAATAATAGAGCTTTAAATTACATCAGTAGAACATTCTGGGAAATTAGCCCCTCATTTGTTACCAATATGGCTAGACATGAGTATTGCTTTGGTTAGAGAATTCCTTTTTGTCTTTAGAGACTTTAGTTCACTTTGAGTGGTGTCCCCAGCAGGTATGGTCCTTAAATATGGTGGCTTAAGTATAGGGAATTCCCCCTGTAATCAGTGGGATGCTGGTTTGGACCCTGGATCCATCTGTGTCTGTTGTTGTGTCCTTTTGCAAGACGACTGATGGCCGCAGGAACTGGCAGCTCTGACTGTATGGCAGCCTTGGCCTCTAACGGTGTGCCCGATTGGGAAACCTGTGGTTAATATAGCTTATCACCTTCAGCTACATTTTTTTTAATCAAATAATAGAATGCCTTCTTCAAAATGACCAAAAATATCCCTTTAAGTTGGTAGTTTTGCCCTGAAATAACTGCCAGAGGTGAAACAGAGCATGAAGATCAGATATTCTTACTGTAGAAAAAAGAACTAAGGCATGTTTATAACCCTGGGGCTAACGTGTGGATAATAAATGGAGATAAACGGTGAGCCGCTGGCAGGCACATTGAGATAGATGGAGTGGAGCTCATGCTCTGGCAGCAGGCTTGACTTTCTAAGACCAGCAATCTGTATGCTCACCCCCTACCTGTGTGATATGCCCATAATAGTGTTTTAATAATGTTTCGACCACTTCATGAGTAATTTTAGCTAGGCAGTGTGATTGGTAACAGACACCCACCAACAGTGCTGTTATTCCCATTATGGACCTCAAGCTGTGCCTCCTTGGTTGTGACGCCAGCTCTTGTTGCAACCAAGGAAGCAGTTGTTCAGATTTCAGGAACATTTACAAGAAACTTACACAACAGCACAGATGTTTTATGTAGTATAAATGTTCTAAAAAAAGTGGACAATCATCTGTATGAGCACAGCCATGTTTGGTACATTTCTATCTGCTAATCCTTAAAAAAGTCAGAAACAGTTTTCACTAAAAGACAGGAAACATTTAGACAATAAGCCCTTGACCATCATGTGGTGGCAGGGAAATAAAATTATTTCCTGAGGGTGGTTTGATTTTGTTGTGGATATAATCCGACTGAATAGAGCACCAAGCAAACAATTTCCAGGCACTGACTTGTTCTGTAGAGTGAGGAAATAAAAAGGACCTTACAGATGAGACATTTTGTCTTTGCACCCTGTAATTACTGCCTCGGAAATCGGTTCAGCCAACATCATCAAATGGAAAGGCCGGCCCTTTGTTGTGCCTCAACATCACTTAACCCAGCTGCATTTTGAATTGTACATTTGACAAGCCCACATTGCATCTCTACAGTATCATTTATTGAAACATATTTTTTTATGTGTCGATTATTTTGCCAACTTCAGGCAATAGCTCCGAAATATAAATACATATTCATAGTGTGTCCTTTTTGGCGATCGTTGTTTAGAAATAAAAATACCAGATTCCTAATATTGGAGGTAAACCATTATAGGAGAAGACACTAAAAAGTAAACTCTTGATATGTTTTTGAAAATGCGTATTTCAAACATGCTCCCACAAACAAAAGAAAAATCTAGATTCTCGGTTCTCTGCGAGATAAAGGTGAAATTGTACTTCTGTGTTGGGGTGAGTCTATGCACCAAGCAGGGAGCTTAAATAAGTTGTTCTCTTGTTCCTGAGTGATGGTAGGATGGAGGAGAAATGGACCAGTGGATCACTCTCATAAAGTAATCTGAGCATTGATCTGGTCTATTCTGATGAAGAAGGAGCTAAACTGAAAGACACAGCTCTGGAGTTTCTGCTCCAATAAAACCCTTACTTACTGTATGGTTAAAAGGTATGGATCATGGCAGAAAGAACAACATCCTGAATGATTCTCCTTCAGTGGGTAGCTGGACTGAGCCTTACAGATGAGCAGCAGAAAAGCCTCAGAGTAAAGCTTCTTCACCTTCTTCTAGACGCTTTCTAGGAACATCTCTAAATCCCGGGGCAGACGCAAAACTCATTGAAGGGATTTTTGACCTTGAGATCTCGCAGATGGTGCTGAAAAGTGTTGTTTGGGGAAAAAACATGTCTTTGATTGCCACCTGGACATGTTTTGGAATTGGCTGGATTGTACCAATGAGTGGTACAATGGTTTATTGCTGGGGGAGATGTCCTCAATGTTGTTCCCACCCTCACAAATGGCCAACTGCTGCAAAATAACATCAAACCTCCTTTGGCCTTAAAGCATCCAGATGGAGTTTTTGGATTAGTACTTTCATCAAAGATCTGCCATATCCAGTCCTATAGAGTCTACTGCCCTCTAGAGGAGGATCTACAAGTAGTATTTCCTATTACTTTCAACGCTTCTGGTGTGAGAATGTGTTGTACCGTCATATAATTATATGATTATTTAATAAAATAAAACTGCTTGTCATGTAGTTATAATATTACTAATAGTCAATAACTGGTTCAGTTAGAACAGGCGCGGGGAACCCTGGTCCTCGAGGGCCGGTATCCTGCATGTCTTTGCTCCAACACCTCTGATTCAGTGGTTGATTCACCTGTTCAGCAGCTCATCAAGATCTGCAGAAACCTGTTAATCATCTGCTGATTGAAATCAGGTGTGTTGAAGCAGGGTTGAAACTAAAATATGCTGGATAGTGGCCCTTGATGGACCAGGGTTCCCCACCCCTGAGTTAGAATACACACATGTTTACTATTATAATTTAATATTTCAGGCTTTAAAAAGGTGAATTAGATCATATCCTGGGAGGTGAAAATACACTTTGTGTGTGCCCTTTTTTATTCCGCATTTGTAATAAAAAGTCTGGCCATAGTAAAACTATTTTCAAACATAACACAGAATTGTGCTACATAGATATGTTGAGTGAATGTGAATCTGTTGGAAACAAAGTACTTTTTTTCCTTTTCGCCTTACCCAGTGTCGGGTCGTACTCCCAGATGAAGCGTCTTGTCAGGAACCTTACCACCAAAGCTGCAAAAGAAGAAAAAAGATAAAGAGTTGAACCTCAAATCTAAATAAATAAGGCAGACTGGAGCTTTCTGATAACTGTTGCCACCCCTTCTTCTAAAGAATGTTGTATTGATGTGTTACATGGTATTAGTGTTGTGTTAAAGACTTAAAATATTTTATACCATATAAAAGGCTGGAATATGTACTGGAAGTTAGATTAAAAAATAAACAAGAGCAACAGGTGTTAACTGTGCTAATGACTTCCACCTGTGACCCTAATATGCACATGTATGTCTACATCAGTTTCTCATCAGTGGAGGATAACCCACAAAGATCTAAACCACTTTAATACGTGTTTCATCTAAATGCCACTACCAATTCAAACAGCCCCAGATGATCACAGAGTTCAAATAGTCTTTGGGATAAAACATCAGCTTTCAAAAGTTACTTGTGAGCTTCTAAAGCCCTTTCCAGCATTTGCCCTCCAAAATAAAAACAGTGTCCTTGATGAGCTGGTGACTCAGTGCCAATGGTTCACCATCAACAAGAGATTCACTGCATGGAAATGCTCAGCTCCTTTTACTCACTCAGATTTAGACTGCCATTAACCGTCTATCACGCAAACCAAACAGCACTCTGCTCTTTGTCAAAGTCTGTAAACAGTGATGCAAAACGCCTGTTTTCTGAAAGCTGCAACAGACTGCACTTTGGTTCAACTAAACAGAGGCCTAATAATGTCACTTAAATAGTGTTATTTAGGAAGAAAGCAAATTTAGACTCAACCAGAAACAAGAGATAGCTAATTGTTTAAGAATTAATGCTAACTTACTAAAATTCTGTTTGTGATTTTTTTCACAAAGGTTGTCTTTAATTCCCTGCTTCTTCTCTTCTTTGACCCACTATGTCACTATGGAACATATAGTTTTCTTTCAATTTTTATCAGTACATGCATAACTCTACATGCAGAAAGCACTCACAAATACTTCCGAAATATTATTTAAGCCTTAGCTCAAAACTGAAAGTGAAATGTCTTTTCAACTTGTCATATCTCCCCCGTGAACCACGGTGGTAACCTAAAAAAATACAAATTCTGACTAGAGGTGGGTAATATACCGAAAATGTACCAATACCAAAATGTATGTCTATTACTGACGTCTTTTTGCCCATGTTAATATTTTAGGTATTTGAAGAAAAACTTGTGTAGGTTGCTGATGTTCTTGTTTCCTTACAATGCTGAGCTAAGAAGTAGAAATGGAGGATGATTCAAAAGTTAAATCAGTGGGCGGGGCAGCAGTGGGTGGCAGTAGCAGCCACTATAAGCTGACAGTAGTGACCAAATCCAAAATGTTGCTCAATGTTTGATGAAGGATTATGGTGAGAACAGGCTTCTCAACCAAAGCTATCACCACCACTGCCCCCTCTAGCTACTAGCCTGACCTGCCAGCCCCATGCTTCCTTATGGGACGCATTGCGTGTGGGAACTCTTCTATTCAAATAACCCCACCCCCTGAGAATTCTAACCGAGCCAATCAGCGCTGAGCACACATCACACACCACAACACTGAGTTTCTCATAAACATGGCGTCTGAAGCAGAGTTCGCTGCGGCTCTTTCCTCTGTTCTAAATGATTTGAACATGTCTTTAAAACCACCTACGATCCTACAACCTTCTCAGGTTATTGTTCCGACAGTCAAACCACTTCACTTCAAAGCCATCTTTACTAAAATTTCTTTTAACGGAAATAAGCACATTATAATTAGCAATATCTATCGCCCCCCCACCCCCAAAATTTGAAGCAATACAAAATTTACTAGCTACGGTTGAATCGTTGGGGGACACAATGGAAATGATCTTACTTGGTGACTTCAATCTTAACTGGCTTGATGAATCTACTCTTCCAGAACGTATTCTTTTAAATAGCTCAAATCCGACACAGCTGGTCTCTGAGCCAGCTAGAACTTGTGCCACAAACTCTTCTCTCATTGACTGGATATTAGTAACTCACCCAGATAGATTTTCTGATTACGGCGTTTTGCACAACTTTTTTAGTGATCACTCTTTTATTTATTGTTTTTGGAAAATATCTTTACCACATACACCAACTAAGATTATCAGAATTCGTGACTTGCATACTTTTAACACTGATCAGTATTTGCAGGAGCTGCATTCTCTTAATTGGAATAGATTGTTTCTTATACCTGATGTTAATGATGCTTGGGCATTTTTCCACTCTCAGTTCACGCAGGTTCTTGATAAACATGCTCCTTGGGTCAGTGTGAAAATTAAGGCTGGCCATTTGCCTTGGATTTCTCATGAATTAATTGCTTTATTTAAGAAGCGCGACAAAGCGTGGAAAGTAGCAAAACTTAGTAATCTGCATGAGTATTGGACAGTTTATAGAAAACTAAGAAACTTCTGTACTACTCAGACTAGGAATGCTAAAGCTAATTTTTATAAGAATGGTTTGCATAAGGATATCAATAACCCTAAGCGCTTCTGGGATAAAATTAAAGACCTGAGGGGGAAAAATAATGTTAAAATCTCACATCTGAATGTAAATGGGAGTCTTATTGATGACCCGGCTGAAATTGCTAAAGCATTCAGTAAGCACTTTGCTTCCACTCCTTTCCTTGCCTCTGCAGGACATCAAGGGTCTTACACCTTGCCTCACTGTTGCTCCAGTGGATTTTCTTTTTCTGAAATTCGTTCTGAGAAAGTGCTTAAAGTTATACTGTCTCTCTTTAGTGGGAATACTGCCGGTCCAGATGGCATAGAGAGTCGCTTTGTTAGGATAGCTGCTGATGTTAGAGCACTCATTCTGCTACTGCAGCTCCAACTGATCATACAGTTGGAAGAGCAAGCAACAAGGTGAATGCAAAAGGGGTGCCAACACCCAGATAAAACCCCAAAAAGTTTCCAAAATGTGAGAATAATTAAAACTCAAGTCAATGGACAAGACCGCTAGCTTAGTGCTAAGCTAACGTCATGCTAAGCTAACATTGCGCTAGGCCAGCGGTTAACAACAGCACTACATCCCCAGCACAAAGCATCCAGGTTTCAGGCATCAGCTACAGACCTAAGACAATGTGTGTGCTTTAGAGTTTAAATGAAGATAAACTGTTAGCCAGTATGCTAACAGAAAATGAGAAATGTTTAGTTGCAACACCTAAAAGCCAACAAGTGTTTTTTTTCCTTCTATGATTTTATTGCAAGTCATTATGAGAATGAGACTATGCCTGAATTATTCTGATTATTATTCTCCTATATGGTAGTGCAAGGATGTGTACATATAAATATATAAAAATATGTTAAGATTGTGAAACTAATGAAGGTATTGTATATATATTTAAGGAAAACATGAATTAAATGAACCTCTAATCAGTGGTTGGAAGGGGTGGGATTAAACAAGCAGAAGCTTCTTCCTACTCCTTTTGAGCATGTATTCTGAATGACAGTGTAATATAGAACATTATTTTTGGTTTTAGAATATATATATATATATATATATATATATATATATATATATATATATATATATATATATACATATATATATATTATCATGAAAGAGATTATTGCTGTTACTTCTTTAATCAGGTGTCAATTACAGCTGACTACTAATGTCATTGTTTGGTAACTATGCTGTGCGTGGGTGCCCGCTTATGTCTGTGGGTGTAGGTGTTGAAAGAAAGAAAGAAAGAAAGAAAGAAAGAAAGAAAGAAAGAAAGAAAGAAAGAAAGAAAGAAAGAAAGAAAGAAAGAAAGAAAGAAAGAAAGAAAGAAAGAAAGAAAGAAAGAAAGAAAGAAAGAAAGAAAGAAAGAAAGAAAGAAAGAAAGAAAGAAAGAAAGAAAGAAAGAAAGAAAGAAAGAAAGAAAGAAAGAAAGAAAGAAAGAAAGAAAGAAAGAAAGAAAGAAAGAAATAAATTATATTTTATTTTGCGCCTCATAGATAAAAGCCACTAAGCACTTCTTTGCTTTTTGGCTGTGGTTTTGCACGCATGTTTTACATTTTCTGGGATTTTATTTGTAATATTGCAGTTTTATCTTTATGGCAAAAATGAAAAGCATATTTAAATGTACAACTGTTTTGGAGTTTATTAATTTTATTGTTAGAAAAACAAATCAGAGCTGTTAGCTGGTAAACTTAATTTCTTCTCTATATTTCAAGACTCTGCACCATTTGACAGACAGGCCCAGGCAAATCCATCCTTCTCAGCTGATCACGCTGCTGCAGTAAAGACAGAAAATTAAAAGAAACTGAATAAAATACATGTTGTTATATAAATATACTGGTTGTCTTTCACAAGACTTGTTTGTGTCACAACATAATACATGTTCAAGGAAACATAAAGGATTATCCGATTATTCGATTAATCAATTACTAAAATTATCGAAAGCTGCAGCCCTAGCTCATGCATAAGACTCACACGTGTCTGCCAACCCTAAGCCTGTCAGTAAGATACTGAGAGACAGTCTTACTGAAACAGCAAAACATTGGCACACTTCCAGGGAAATTCTCTACCAGAGCTGTCAATTTTCCTAATGGACTGGGAAGTCTTTTTGTGTCCAGGCGAATATCCGTGTCCTCATGTGAACCTCCTGAGCTGTCCCCTTTGGGAAGAAAACAATGATGAGACAGTTTAACTCAAGAGAGCTTCCTCTGAACTGTGAACAAACTTCTATTTTTACCAGGACTATTTTTCAATTAACTGCTAGGAGAGAAGGGAAGAAACTCTGTTGTGTCAACTGGAGTGTCCACGTCGTCATGTTTCATTAAATCTCAAAGCCAGCCTTTTAGCTGAGGACAAGAGTCGATATCAGGTTTGTTTGTGCGGCCACTAAAGTTGCCTCCATTATCCTGACACAGCTTGTTGTATTTCATACCTCTTTTGTTGGTTTTGTTCTACAGCTAACACCAACGTTCGTTCACTAGCTTCATGTGTTTTCAGGCAAAGAGGTGAACACTTTGCTGAGTACATGGAAAGCAGCAGGCAGTTTGTCATGCTGTTGAGAATGATGCATGATCCTTTACTGGGCACATTCGTTTTCTTTTTTACTTTTATTTTGCCCTGAATTTCTGCCCCGAAAATTTTCCTGGATTCCGGGTAGACAAAACAACGAATGGGGTGTGAAGTCTTCTCCTCATTAGGTGTAACTCTATCTTTTGCTTTTCACGGACACTTGAAAGGAGGCTTTGTTAACCTGCATCAATATGAACATTGTGACCCAAATTTAGTAAGATGATGCCCTGACTGTCAGCAAGGAAGGAGATGTGATGATACAAAAGCAAAAATGTGTCAATAACAAAGAATTATTAACAGCAATTGTTTGTATAAAAACAAAAGTGTGTGTGTGTGTGTGTGTGTGTGTGTGTGTGTGTGTGTGTGTGTGTGTGTGTGTGTGTGTGTGATGTGCGCGCACATTCCTGTGTGTGTGTATGGTGAAACTCACAAAATGGAATATCATGCAAAATATGGTGTAAAAGCTCATGTATTTCAGTTATTCGACCTAAAAGGTGAAACCAATATATGACATAGTCTTAATATATAGAGTGACATATTTCATGTGTTAGAATTGTGATAATTATGATTTACAGCTTATGAAAACTCCAAATTCTAAAGTTCTGACAAATGTTCTCTCTTCCTTCTTCCATCTCAGGAACATTGCTAAGCTGAGTCCCATTCTGTCTTGCTCTGAACTTGAGATTGTTATCCACACCTTCATTCCTCCCACTTAGACTACTGCAACTCTCTTTTCACTTGTCTGAACCGTCTACAGGTGATTCAGAATGCCTGTGCTCGGCTTCTGACTAAATCGTCAAAGTACACCCACATCACCCCACTTCTCCTCCAGCTTCACTGGCTGCTGGTTAACTTCAGGGTTCATTCCAAGATCCTGGTTCTGGTTTTTAGGGCCTTACATGGACAAGCAAAAAAAAAAAAAAAAAAAAAACTATCTTTATATTGCACCTCTCAAGATAAAAAAAAAAAACCACAAGGCTTTTCACAAGAACAAAAAATTAAAAATGCAAAAACATCTTCTAAAAATGTACTGTCTTTGACGACTAAAGTCGTCATTTTAAATCCAACCATTCACCACCCCACCCCCGTTGTCCTGGGGGGCCACAAAGAGGGGGCCTCACGGGCCATGTGCGGCCCATGGGGCACCTATTGAGGACCACTGGTCTAGAGTGTGCCTCCTGGTGTGTGTAGGGTCAGAAATATCCTGAGTAAAGCTGAAAGAGTCCATCCTCACCTCCTCCATCACCGTGTGGCACGCTGGAGCTACCACCAGGGACAAGAAGAGGCTGCAGCGTGTTGTGCGCTCTGCAGAGAAGGTCATTGGCTGCAACCCCCCCTCCATTCAGGATCTGTACACCTCTAGGACATTGAAGCGTGCAGGTCGGATAATAGCTGACCCGTCTCACCCTGAACAGTCTCTTCGACTCGCTCCCATCTGGCAGA